CACACTTCCACCAAACGTTCCTCATTATAAATTAAATCCAATGCTAATTAATGTGGTGTTTGATTTGGTTCTTGTGCTTTGCTAGTTAGTTAATTTTACATAATAATAGGCCTATTTCCTCCTTGCCCCAAGTGTTTTTAATTTGTATAGATATTTTTCTTGTGGTGATTATATTACTTGTTGTGTTACCTGTCTAGGGATATTGCAGTGGTGAGTGATTCAGTGGATCATAACAGAGAGGCCTATATTTCTCATCGCAGCCATCATGGCGCTCAAAGGGGCCCATGTTGTCTCTGCCATCCTGTTTAGGGTTGTTTTTCCGATTGTACTTTTGGCAGGTGAGTTTCTTAAATTTTTAATTAAAATTCCTATTGTCTTACATGGTAATCATCCTTTATTCACTTGTTTGACACTGGGCTTGGTTAAAATGCCTTCCTTTACTTTTGTCAAGTCAATGTTTCAAAGACTGTGAAGTACCATGACATCATGAAATAACGTGATAATGTGGGGTCTTTTTCATAGAATAAAAATTTCGCATGCGTAAAAATTTTCATGGCTTTTTTACACTGGTTGCGTTGCTAGTAAAGAAAATGAAAATGAAATGTTGAAGAAGGCAAATATTTTTTGTCTTTAAAAAATATAAGCTTTGCTCAATCATTATATTGAAGGTTTGCTTTCTTTTTCTGTTTCCAGCTTCAGTTTTCCGGTTCAATGCCCTGTCATTTTTGTACACGGTGTGTTTGCTCATCACACCACTACTGCCTGTGCCCAGCAAGACCTCTATGAAGGGTGAGTAATAATTTGCTAGTAAAGGGGTATAGTTTTAGGAATTGCAAAGGCATCTTTTGTTTGTTTGTTGTATCACTGAAGAATTGTAGAGGTGAGTTCTTTTATAAATAGAATGAAAACTGTACCACCTATTGTTCCTCCGAGACTAATTGGGTTGTATGCTTTGACGAAATGACGATTTGGACTCGAGTCCAAATGGACAAAAATTATATCCGGACTCTGAATTGGGTCCAGCATGACGTCCGTTCCGACTTCTGACCCTTGTTCCTAACTATTTCCAGCATTTGTGAAACATTTTTTGATATGATAGCAATCGAGACGTGAGCTTTAATATCCAGTTACCAGATATATAATATCTAAACTGGCCCTCCCTGCATCAGTAGCAGCCTGAACAGAACAACCAAGTTGAGTTGACCTTGCTGAGGGCAAAGTTAATTATGTTGACCAATGAGACTACACTACACGTAACGATCATGCACTCTTGACTTGCCGGGGGAAGAGGTGTTGGGAAGAGGCCACAGCTGTCAATTTTGTGCGATGTGATTTTTAAAAAAACTATAAACACACAACAAAATGAAATTAAACATCATGTGGAAAGATAAATGATGGTGGAAGTAATGATGATGCTGTAGTGGTGGTGGAAAGATCCTAGTTGTCGGTTACCGTGTACTTAGACACTGCCATTGGGCAATGAGAGTGCAGTCTTTTGACTTTTGACACAATTACATAGTCCTAGTAGGTAATTCCAGCTCTAATTCTGGTTAAAAACGTAAAATCCCCCAACGACAGTTATTTATGTAACCTCCTTACACTCACATAGCTCACTTAGAAGCTGAGCCCAGATAGATAAAACACATATTATATAATATATCATATATTCGGACTCGAGTCTGAATAGAGCTGGCCATTCTTTGAATATAAATGGTCTATAAATTTTGTAACATGTTTGTTGTACTTCGTCTGCTCCATGTTTTACAAATAATGGATTGCATTTATATCTATATTGCATATCCGCTTATGCAATGCTCTATGCATGTAAGTTCATCTACATCTTTCCTCTCTGGAAAGTTTCTGAGTTTGCTCCACAATCCCTTTAGATATTGACCCTCATGTATTTTTATCTCTGTCTGTATTTGTATTTAGAGCATTAAGCCTAGTAGTACTAGTCCTAGAGTGGCAGATTATTCATTGACACTTGCACTTGCATAGACTGTAACCATCAGTTGGGGGGGGGGGGGGGGGGGCTCTTCTTTTACTCCTTGTTTGTTGCTTATCAATGCACAATGGCAATTCTTCCTTTTGTTCTCTTTTTTTTTTCTTTCACAACATTGGTAGATTGTTTTATTTAATTTATGGATGGAAAGCTTATCTGGGAGGTCAGATAACATTTACAATACCTGAAGTGCTCTGATATAATAGTCTCTTGTAGGCCGTTTATAGGTACAAACTGCAAAAACAGAGCAACAAGGGTTTTTTTATCTTTTGTTTTAGTTATGGCTCATGCCTTTAATACGTCTCCTTTACCTACAAAAGTATAGATGTATTGTTCGTTCATATTACTCACAGCAAAAAAAAAAAAGTGTGTGGTTGGCGGGTGGTCTGGTGTGGTTTGCTTCTTTTTTCCTATCAAACGTCTATCACCTTATCTCCCCTTCTTTTTTGTGTTTGTTACTCTGTTGTATCACCTCTAATCTTCGACACTTATGTGACTCCCTTGTGTTGCAAGTGCCGTAAAACATGTACTTTAAAAAACTGTTTTGAATGGCCCTTCTGTTCATCCTTAGGCTTACTTGCCTGTAACCTTACATGTAGACCATTTGAATGTATATTTATAGGACCTGAATTCTTTCTTTTGCTAATTTCTTTTCTTTCCCTCAGTTGTTTCTGTCTGTCTGTCTGTCTGACATGTTCCTTGTTTAATGTGCTGTATTTTACTCAAAAACGATTCTTATGAGGTATGTGATTAAGTCGAATTTTTAAAGGGTTTCACAATGAATGTGATGTTCTTTTGTCAGTGCTTGGAATTGAGAAGTTATTTCTTGTCATGTGCCCTTTAAAAGCTCCCACCACTTACGCACTTATAGTGAAGTGGCTTCTCTCCTGATTCAGATCATCGTGCGCCTTAGAGCGTAGTCTTTCCATACGATGCGAACTTTGGCCTTTTGATCGAGTGCTCGGGGAGTTTTGTGGAAGATTATGAAGAGGAGGGGAAGGGAGGGAGCAATCTGTAAACACAGGGTGGGATTTGGAATACATGATCCCCTACCGCTTCGGCGCTCTTTTAGTTTTAGTCTCACTGCTGTTGCACCGCAAAACCACCACTACCACCACCCTCCCCGCCAAACCTATATGAGCTTAGGGGGGATGCTATGGAGGCTAAAAATATAATAATTTATAATTCAGTTCTTCTGTGAAATATGAGCCAGTGAACTCAAGGCAGGGTGCAGAAGTCCAGGATTAATAGCAGTTCGCGCACTGCTATCAGATGGCTTTTGACGCGACTCGCGCTCATCTAAGCTACACGTGGGCCACGTTTTCCCGGTTGATTTGTCTCTACTTCCACTCCACCTCAACCTGCCCTTTGCAGCCTTTCTCTCTCTACTGCTCTACATCCTTTCCTTTCTCGTACGTATACATATTATGTGCACTTTCGTACCCAGAGTCAGAGAGAGAGAGAGAGAGAGAGAGGGGGGGGGAGAGAGAGAGCAGGGAGTTACTAGTGTACGTACATACGTGTGTATGTGTGTGTAAATGCATGTGCGTATGGGTTTCGATGTGAATGTGTGTGATTCTGTGTGCA